TGTACAGTGGTGGAGCAGGTGGCTACGATCAGCAGCCACAGCCACAGGCGCAGCCACAGCCACCTTCCAGGGGATTGCCCTACGATGGCCCTAGTCGTTACGACCAGGGGCGGTCGTATGAGCCTGTGCGTAACGAAGTGGTTTATACACCTCCGGAAGGGGGGGCACGAGACGGAGCTGGGGCACGGCGGGTTGCGTATTCTCCCCCGGAAGGCGGGCCAAGAGACGGGTCTGTAGCGCGCGCCGTGCCGTCCGCGCCGCCTCCATCCACGACTCCCCCGCCAATCGCTGGCGCATCGCCTGGTGGCCGTGCCTTGCCTGGGATCATCAGGTCAGAGGATGGGGAAAGGCCGAAGCTGAACCTGTTGCCGCGGTCGCAGCCTCTGCCCAGCGACTCCGCTCCCGCACCTGTCAGTGTAGGGATGGCGCTGGAACGCACATCCGACCTGGAGCGATCGGCGGGACCGGAACGCTCCCAAATGGGACCGGATCGCTCCCAAATGGGACCGGATCGCTCCCTGGGAGTGGAACCGAAGAGAGATGCCCCGGTGAGCACATAATCTGAACCCTTTTTTCGCTGTGAAATATATTTCCATCGGTGTTAATGTATTGATAACCATGTCAATAGGTCTAACAATTGGTGTATATAGGCACTGGATTGTGATGTCATGTGATTGTCAGGTGTTATCTCGGCATGTGATACCAAGTGTTTGCTCGCCGGGATCGGCGATGGCCTTGGGCAGACCTGCTTTTGTGTAGTCGCTGGCTTGGGAGAGATCGGACACGGCCGTACCTGACCTCAGAATGAATTTAAGCATTGAACTGATGCTTCTGCTCAGAGCGGACACAAAATGGTGTCCCTCTGCACACCACAAGGTCATACCATTTCGAGAAATCTAAGTGGTGAAAAAATTGTGTGATGTCTATCTCGGGTAGTTAAGTACGCTGAAGTTAACAAGGGTTAGCGTTTCAAGGTGTGGCTGTTCTCCTGGGTTGGCTGGTAATTTTATTTTTTTCCTCGATCGAAACGTTGGGTTAAAGTCGCTAGGCTAGCTGGGGTTAAGCTTTGCGGGAAGTTCGTTTGAACATCGTGCTGTCCTTGGTGTCAAAAGGACACCATGCTGTCCTCGGAGTTACGAGGATGAGAACTGCAATAATGATTAGAAGTGCGGGTTACATAGTGTTCAGCATTTCGGGTCGGATCTTAGGCCTTGTACGTGTTATATAATGTTCAGCATCTGTACGTGTTATATAATGTTCAGCATCTGTACGTGTTATATAATGTTCAGCATCTGTACGTGTTATGTAGTGCTCAGCATCTGTACGTGTTATGATGTAGTGCTCAGCATCTGTACGTGTTATATAGATGAGAACTGCATTAGAGATGAGATGTGCGTGTTATATACTGCTCAGCATCTGTACTTGACACGTCAGCCTACTGCGTTGCAGGTGAGTCGAAAGAGTTATAATAACGACGAATTCAGGGGTGTGGACTTGTTTTCTTCTTTTCACGTCAGCCTACTGCGTTGCAGGGGTGTGGACTTGTTTTCTTCTTTTCTTTTTCTTTTAATGTGGCCCGATTGACTACGGATCAGATATTAAACAGATGTTAAAAAAAAAAAAAAAAAAGATATTAAACAAATGAGAACTTGCAGTACACTTGATCTTAGCCAAAAGGCCGAGAAAGGTGTGGGGACTAGTTCCGTACGGTCGAGATCGGGACAGCAGAGCTCTGGGAGGCTTTTTTTTATTGATCGGAACGTAAACTGCTTATCATCAGATTTCCTCTGCACAACTCTCTGCGTATTGTCTCGCGTGCCCAGAAGTGCATACATCAGTGCATACATCACTTATCATCATATTGCGTTTTTGAATAACGTCAGACACCCTTGGGCGCCTTCCACGCATCTGAGCTCAGCGTAGAAGAGATTTTGGAAACACTGATTGGCTTCAATTAGGTTTGAAATCGAATTGCAGAGTTCAGCTGAGGGGGTATTATGACGCTTGATTTGTGGTTTACTATCAATGGCACCCTGTGCTCGTTCATGTTCACTGTATGAGGAACAAAGGAAGAGATTGAACAGCGATGATAAGGGTGTAGCTTTGATAACTTCGATAATAACAGTGTGGAGAAAAGAAAGAGCTCCACTGACTTCTGTGTCCATTCCTTTGTGACGATGTGCAGGTGGAAAGGCAGGTGGAAAGGCAGGTGGTGGAAAGGCAGGTGGAAAGGCAGGTGGTGGAAAGGCAGGTGGAAAGGCAGGTGGAAAGGCAGGTGGAAAGGCAGGTGGAAAGGCAGGTGGAAAGTTCTGAGTCACGGCGTCAGTATGTGTCTGCATCGGAGCAGACTCGGACTAGTTCCCTGTCGGACAGGCATCCTTCGGAGGGCAACGTCACTGACAGTCTGTCTGTTGGTGCTGGAAGCGATGTTTCTGGCCCTAGCAGTAACAGACCCCCGGAGGGAGAGCGTTTGAGGCCTAAACTGAATCTCTTGCCTCGTTCGAAGCCTTATCAGCCGGCATCAGCGGATGGTGCGGAGAGCAGCAGGTTGGTAATTGTTGGCTCTTTTTGCCTGTGTTTGGTGTCTACGACCGGTCTTTGTTCCTGTTCCAAAGACGACCTGTGCAGGATCTCCCCGGCCAATTCTAGCCCCATCAAACATCTGGCCATGTCGATGACCACCGTCTTCACCCGAATAGAATGCCGGGTCATTATAGCTGTATTTGATGCAACTTTCAGTCCAGATACGGCCATAATTACCAGGCGTTCTATGCGGGTGAAGACGGTAGGCGCACAACATGCACACCTGCACATGTAGATGCATGATGAGGGAGATACCTTTGGAAGTTGCGGTCTGACCTGGCTGCCTTATTGCACTGTTCTTGGTTGTTCTCCTTTCTCCTGGTTATGGCTGTGAGCCGGACGGGGAAAGTCCTCAACGCAATGAACTGCGGGGCATGGGCTGAGGACAGTCCTCAACACAGTGAACTTATCCTCAAGTGTAAGAGCAGAATCTCGAAGTGCTCTGATCCACTCACGGATGGCAATTGCTCTCTGGGTTGTGTGGCATGTGCGCAATAGATAAAGTACTTGAGAGGCTTCTAAAGTCTCTCGTTTGTGCAGCACTACTAGTCTCTGTGTACTCGAGGTCTCCCGTGCTTTGTGGGCCTGGAAACCTTTATCGTGTTGTCGAATGCAACAATGGCCTATTCTTAGTCTGGGGAACATGGAAGTRTATCTAATGGACCTACTCTCACGCTCCACTATGCGAAGTGTCCCGTGCTTTGTGCGCCTGGAAATCTTTATCGTGGGTCTGTCAATGCAATAATGGCCTATTCTTAGTCTGGGGAACATGGAAGTGTATCTAATGGACCTCCACTCTCACGCTCCACTACTCGAGGTCTCCTGTGCTTTGTGCGCCTGGAAATCTTTATCCTGTGTTTGTCGATGCAACAATGGCCTATTCTTAGTCTGGGGAGCATGGAAGTATATCTAATGGACCTAATCTCACGCTCCACTCTGGTGGTTCTGAGAATTCGTCCTTTTTCTTTCTGGTACTCTCACTTCCTATTTGGCCAGATGTCAATCGTTGAGAACATGTAGGCTACAGATTAGGAGAGCACAGTTTCTCGTGCGCCGTGGGTAGGTGCAGGAACATCTTGCTAGTGCTGGAATAGTAAGTCCAGCCAGTTCCCTGTTGGTAGACTGAAAGCTGCCCCGTCTGCATCCCGGTTGGTTTTGTACCGTTATTCGGTCTATTTAGTCAGCAGGTAGCGGTGCTTCATGTGGGACCAGTCGTCCGTTTTGTTTTTATTGTCTTGGCATCCTGGTTGGTTGTTTCCTGTTGTTCGGTCTTTTGAGCACGGGGCGGTGCTTGTATGTGGGAATCGTCATCCGAGATTGTCTTTTATACCGGTCCTGTGGGTTCTTTTTGGTATCCTAGTTGGTTGTTTCCCGTTGTTCGGCCTATCAATGGGGGCGGTGCTTTTATGTGGGAATCGTCATCTAGGATTGTTTTTTATGATGTCCCGGTACAAATTGCTTACGATGACGCCTAATAGGAATACCAACTTCTTGATGTTGAACAGGGCCATCTGCTCTGTATAGATATGTATCTGGGACATTTTTTTTTTCTTTGCAGACAAGAATGTTTTGACATTCTGTTGGTCTTGTCCCGTCGTTTGGCCTGTGGGCAAGGGTGGTGCTTGCATGAGGGACTTGTCATCTGGGATCTGTTTTGTTCTGTTTTATTTAGCTCCTCTTTTCTTTGCCTCTTTGCCTCTTGGCTGTGTGCAAGTGGGTCGATATGACACACAGGGGTGGGGGCAGCCGCCGCTCAACCTACATCCACGTGGGCGGCCTTGTACGCAAGAGGTTCTGAAAACAGGGGGAGTTGTAAGGAAGAAGATTAAAAACGAATTCATTTTTTCTTGTTTTCCTTGTTTTCTTTCTGTTTTTCGCTTTGGCGCTCTGATATCATGTGACAATATATAAGACAGTAGCGGGCGTGCACATAGATCAATAGGTACCCAAGTGCATTGCCGCATTCAGATGTGGAGATGTGTTCCATTTTGACGTTGAGAGGTCTGTTGATAAAAAGCTTAAATGCGCGAAGGTCTGTTGATAAAAAGCTTAAACGCGCTATTTCTGTCCCTCGCCTTTCTGTCCCTCGCCTTTCGGTTGTTTCAGCCTACTCATTCTGGTTCCAAGCAAGGGATATGTGTTCGATTCTTCATCTGCAGTTGGCTTTCATTTGATGATTCAAGTCACCGATAGGCTTGGAACCTCTTGTGTTTTCCTGACGGTTGGGAATGGCATGGCTAGTGAGCAGGAGGTGAGGTCTGGATGAAGGGCTTTTTCATTTCGTGCTTCTCTTCTTTGCCTGTATTATCCCTATGCTGTGTAGAACATGCTGTATGTTCTCCTTTCTTCTGTCAGCAAGTCATGACTGTCCCGGTGCTTCTTTTGTGATCAGAACGTCCTCCGAGTTGGGCATGTCATTAAGGAGTGTTGCCTTTGTGATCAGAATGTCTTTTGAATTGGGTGTGCCGTTTCCGATTGGTGGTGGCTGTGCAGGCAAACTGTATTTGGTGGAGCACGTCCTCGTGAAGTGGTAAGCGGATTCGGTACATGAACCTCTTTAGATATAAGATTCGTGAGATGTCCAATAAAAGAAATTATTGAGGTATCCCTCGTGGTTGAGTGGAGCCTTGTTTTTTTGACTCTTATTTATTTTCTGTCAGCTTCAGATCTTACTATGATGTAGTTCGAACTCCTCTTCCTCCAGTTTTGTATGGTTCCGTCAGCTGGTGGGTGTGTGAAGGTTGTCCAAAAGGTTCCGCTCCAGTCAGGGCGCGATTGTCTGCTTTAACCACCACTACCTCTGAGCCTCCTTTTGCCAAGGCGGAGCAGAACTGCGTGCCAAGGTCTGGCCGAAGTGTCACCACGACGTTTTTGGTTCCGTTTTGGCTGGTGCCGTGACCCGTTTCGGTCCCGCAGCACCCGGCCTCCACTGGCCTCCGAAGAATGCGTTATAGGTTATGTTTAGGACTTGGGCTTCCAGCCTGAAAGGTAGTGGTGGCTTAACGATTGCTATATCCCTGCTGGAGAGGGTTGAGCCGATCAGATAACTGTTGCATTTTGGGGCGGTGCTGTTGCTTTGCTAGTTCAGAGCTGTGCTGTGCGAGTGCCAACTGGCAATGATAGAGTGATATGCTCTTTTGAGGGAGGTTGATGAAGCATAGTTAAAGAGTGGCTTCTTGTGATGCGGGGGTTACTGGTCTCGATGGTGATGGTCTTGTGAGGGAAGATGATGAAGCGTAGTGAAATAATGGCCTGTGGTGACGGCGACGGTCAGGCGATGATGAAGCATAATGAAATAATGGCCTGTGGTGACGGCGGCGGTCAGGCTCAGTGGTGGGGATTTGGTTGGCTGTGTCCTGTTCTAGGGTGTCATTGTGGTGATGAGAACCAGGACTGTAGGGAAAGTCACTGTATCCTGAGAAAGAATCATAGAGGAGAGGATCATGGTGATCATGGGGATGATGGTGTGAGCTAAATATACTGGACGAGTGCTTAGGCCTACTGTCTTCCCTGGAACAGCTGTATTTGGGAAGGCTATCGTCTTCACGTGAATAGTACGCACCCGGTAATGATGGCCGTATGTGGACTGGAGGTTGGACCAAAGACATCTATGATGGCTGGGGTTTCTATTCGCGTGAAGACGGTAGCTTCGGCTGGGTGAAGTAGGGAACGAGACTTCAATACTCCTAATTATGGTTGACGACGTGGGGTGGAAGGATGGGAGGGCATTTGTGACAGTTCAATCTGCAATGGTGGTTCCAGTGTGTGAACGATGGTGCCAGAGGTGGGCAGTATGGATGGTTATGCTGGTCGTTTCGATGAATGAAAGGGAGGATGAAGAAGTTGGGCTTTATTCGCGTGCAGTGGGGATTTGGGGGTGCAACTCTTGCGTCGAACCACCAGTACCTCCTAAAAGTGCTCCGCGTTAGCAGGTGTGGCTTTTGGGATGAACGGGCCTGGGCCGGTAGGCCCGATTCAGCCAAGTGGAAACGGCGCGATTTCCACTTTTGGCTGGCCGTTTACGTGGAGCGCTTTTCGGAGGTACTGGTGGTTTAACTGTGAGTACTGGGGCCAACACTTACGAGTAATTGTGAATGTTAGAGCTCCGCCTGAAGTTTGCCGGCTGAAGAACAGCTTGTCAGATTTTGGATCCTGCTGAGTATTGGACAGGACCTCTGGAAGCCATGAGGCCTCTTGTGCAGCCTGTCCGTGATATTGGCAGATTTTAGTCTGCTAGTTGAGGGGAAGCCTGTAGTCTTATCCGAGTCAGTGGAAGATTGTTTGTGTGTGCTTGGTCGTGCCTGGTTATGTTGATGCTGCTGGCAGGCCTAGGGTGAAGGAGAATGTATGGGAGAAGTGAATTTGGCTTTATCGTGGCTTGATCATTCGCTATGCTGTGGTTGGCCTTGAGAATTCGATATGATCATTTGATTCATTTCTCATGTTATGGTTTGTGGTGCGCAGCATGTTTGCTATAGCATTATTTCTGCTGCTGCTTTCTTGCTGGAAATGTTCTTGGTAGAGTTGATTGTGGCTCTGTGGACCAAGTGCTGGTGGGGTGCCCAGCTGGAAAAAGTGCAAAGTCAGCATCGTAGAGAGAGAGAGGGAGAGAGAAATCGGTTATTGTGTCTGAAGTAGCCTATGAGAGGGACAATGGGAAGGCGGTTATGGCATTTTATATATAATACCCTTACTCAAAAGTGCTGGCAAATGTATTTGGTTTTGTAGGTCCTGAAGGATCGAGGCGTGGATGATGTGGAAGTGCTGGATTCGACAATAGGTGCTCCAAGGTAATTTTTACTGATGTTGCACAGTGGAGTGCACCTTGTGACCCAAGACGAGCATTTGGCTTGGTGAAAAACAAGAGATTATAGCCTTCTCACCTAGGCTACCAGCCGGGCCGCCCGGGTCACCCTATTTTCCCGGGCGGCCCGGCCGTGCAAGGACAAGGGAGGTCCCAACCAAAAAAAAAAAAAAAAAAAAATCCAAAAAATCCGAAAAAGAACTATGTTATCCAGGAAAATAAACTGAACAATTTTTGCCTCAGGGTCACATCGAAATTCTTTACCAAATTTAAAATAAAATTTTAAAATAAAAGTAATTTTTACTTTCTTTATCTTTTTATATTTTTTTGGCCCGGCCGGGCAAGTGGACCCGGGCCACTCTGGTAGCCTAGCTTCTCACTGCATACAAGTTGAGCAGTACCCAAAATACGTAGGAGACAGGGAGGCCTCTGCCACGTTCGCAAATGAGGGGCTTGCAAATTCTTCACTGTTTCCACTGTATGCTTTCATGTTGTCCTGATGAAAATGCTCTTTGAATATTTACTAGCCAACTGCAAGGTTCACATTGGCTGTAGCTTCTCTACTCTAAAATGCCTGTCAATAATTGTAGAGAGCGTGTTGGCCGATGGTTAGGTGGACGATAACTTGTAGGTGCTGATAAATACGTTATTAGTCCTGAGTGGTTTGGATGTAGCTGTTTGCAAAGTTCCAGTCAAATACTGATGACAGATGTAGCACTGCTGTCCTTGTCACCTGTGCCCATACCATTCTACCTTTTCCCGTTTCTGTTAGCCGGACCTGGCTAGTCCTGTTGGACCTCACAGAACTGCTGTCCTTGTCACCCGTGCCCATACCATTCTACCCTTTTTCCGGTTTCTGCTAGCCGGACCCGGCTAGTTCTGTCGGACCTTGTAGGCCTCTCGATCTAATTCACGCTGCAGCTCTGGTGCCTGTGTCTGCGAAACTTTGCAGGACATCCTGGTTCTCGAACGAGGGCTTTTAACACATAAGTTTGGCAGCAGATGCGAAC